CTCTTGAATTTAATGCTCCGATGCCCTAGTTATACTTTCCTCTAGTACCTACAAAAGATATTAGAATTGTACATTTTGAGTATCGCTTAAATCTAAATATTTGCATTTTGCATTTGAGAGTTGATTCGAGTTACAAATGCTTCAGCACTACATTCATTGGATTACTATTTGGAGCGCTTATAAACCATCAGAAACAATGTGTTCTTGTTGGGTTTCCAAATAATTGAAATCAAAATCCATAAATATTTGAGGTGAGATTGCATGTACAACGAATCGCAAGTTTGTGCACCTTTGAACAACAATATTAGATTTCGTGGAATCAAGATTCCAAAATAGTTCGGATCAAGATTCTATAGAGGTCGAAGCAAGATTGCATGTTAATTGAATCACAGTTCTATGCACCTACGAATTGAGGTACTTGATGCTATGGATTCAAACCAAAACGAATCAAGATTCATTACATGTTAAATCAGGTATCAACAAATGTGGAATCAAGATTCAATAAAAATTGGAATTGGGATTCGAAGATGTTAGGAACGAGATTCCATAAATAATTTGATAGAGCTTTTGTAAAGGTTTGAAATGAGATTCCTAAATATAGGAATTGAGATTCTTGAGTTCTAGGAAATCGGTTCTGCAAAGATTCCTTGTCAGAATCGCCAAATCGGGGGATTCCGAATTGGAATCATGACCTCGGCAGAAAGATTTAATCCATTTAAGCAGGTACATCTACAAGAACTTTTTGATGTAATACATCTCTCTGAAACAAAGAGATAGAGAAAGGCAACAATAGATTCTCCATGCTTGTGGCTTTCTAAAAATCGTTTAGTGAATTGATTCAACAGCATTTAATAGATATTTTGACAAATTTGTGGTACTTCATATGGTGATTTGTTAAGTTAAACCATGGCTATCTTGAGAGATTGTTTGTAGAGTGGCAAAAGGTGATCATTCGTTGAATGCTTCAGCAGTTGCAGACTTATTAGCCTCATTCATCAAATTGTATGAGAATGATACATTTAACTGATTTTCTATTATTTTCAAATGGGGGTTTGCAATGCTTGGCAGAAGTACATAGGGTTTTTGAAGAGACTTCAATTTGAGTGATGAACAAGATTTTGACACATTTTTTTCTAGTACTACCATGAGTAAAGTTTTATATTTAAGGTGATAATTAGAATTAAGGATCCAATATTAGTTTGTGATGAATAATGAAGGATGTGGTAGATATCTGAATTAAATAGTAGATAAATCGAGAAACCTTGTAGCTTTAACTTTGCAGTCAAACTCTGTAGTTATTTGAATTCCAGCTTTGTAGCTGGAAACTGAGTTGCTTTAACTCATTGAAAGTCACCTTATGGGATGGCGCAGATTGGACAAAGATCCGAACTTAACAATCCTTGTATGTAAATTGAGATTTGTATTAGACTGGGTCTTATTTCTTCTCTTGTTCTTGGGCCTTGATTTGCTGTATTTCTTATATCTTTATGCATCACAATCATATTTGGAGTGACTTTGATATAGGTGATTCGGAGGGCACCTCATCTATTGGAAAAAGAGTTGAAATATTGTGTTCCAGAGGCCCTTGATCACATGGTGCATGGTGGAATTTTCTCCACGTATCCATCCTGAGGAACGTGCTCCTCAAGAGAAGGGAGATGCCTTTCCATCATCGCCTTCCAGATTTTCAGGAGTGTATTCATAGCCTTTCTTGTATCCGGCCCTCCAAGTTAATTGTTTGTTTTTTGAAAATCTGACCTTGATCTCCTGTCCCTATCCTTTAGTTGACTCATCTATGACATTCCTTGCCATCGCTGGAGTTTCTGTTGGAATTTTTACTTTTTTCTCTGTTGCTTTGCACACTTTTCCTGCTTCTTTAGCTACTCCTTGCTGTCTTTGTGCAAGTTCTTGATCTTGCCTTGCTCCTTGCTAGACTTTGTGCTGGTTGTTTTCCACCTTTTGGTCCATCGGTTTCCCCTTTGTACAGTGAGCTTAGCAGAGCAGCGAGTAATTTTGGAAGATAAGAGATATGAGTAGCTAGAGGAGTAGAGCATCGATCACTTTGAAAAGACAAGAACAATGAATTGCATGGTGTGATACAAATAACAATAACTATGTTGATCTTGACATCTATTTAGAACACAGAGAAAGGAAATAAGCAAGTTCAGCAATGCATATAAATTGTCAAGCATAAGTTATATATGAAGCAAGGATTTTCCATGAGTAATCTCTCTCATAGTTTCCGGGATCTTCTAAGGAGGGGTCGCTTCTGCTCCTGGATCTTGTTTCGGCACTCTGAAACACAGGTTCTTGATTCTGGGCGATTCCTTTATTTAAGGATCTCATTTCGGTAAATTAGAGATCTCGATACTCAGATCCCTATTCCAAAAACCATCGTTTCATGAGTAAGCATAACCGCAATTATAGTAGCATAGAATTGAGTATCCTATGCTTTGGGTGCGATTTTCAATGGAAATGTCATGATTTCCTATTTATTTTACAATTCATAACTTCACATACATTGTTCATTGTGACTTGTGTCTACTTTTAAAGAAAGGAAATAAGAGGGGACTAGGGGAGAGAGGAAAGAAGCTGGGATGAGATATAAAGGATAGTCGCATTGTGGTTCTATTGAGGAATGAGGTCACGAATAATACCTTAACTTTCTTGGAGGTAGTTCGTTCTTGTCCACCTTCCGAAGGGCTTCTATTGCTTGATTGCCAGTTAACTAAATCGCTTGACACACATTTGTTTTCAAGTATGACAACTCATTTGTGAAGTCTTACTCCATTGATAACAAAAATCAATGACATGTTTTTTGCTTACATTGACACTTAAGTTTGTGAATTTAGAAAAAGTTAAAAATACTGTCAAATGGAACTCACTCCTAGATTACGACATAGTGGATACTTGAACTTTTGAAACTTCGATTCTAACACGGTGGAATGTGTTCCCATTTAGTAGGGGATCCGCCCCTTTGCAGATATGGAACTCCATCCCTAAAAGTCAGGGATCTCAATCCCTACATTTGCTTTTTTGACTCCTGCTTTAGATAACTATGATTTCTCTTAAACTTTCCATGTCTATCTTCATTGGTAGACCACTTTTTTAATTACCTCAAAGTTAGCAAACAAAAGGGTTATGTATCTTTTCTTTCCTTATCTGGTACTCAAGCCTATGCTTACCTTGAGACCGGTAGATGGGTTTTGGTGAAATGAGTTCACACTTAAACGCTTTTAACTTAGGTCTCCCTTTCCTCTCCTTCATTACTAAATGGTATTCTGCATTAGAATCCTATATTTTTTGACCTCATGAATTCTTCTTCTGTTACATGTGATTCCTAAAAATATATGTTTCATATCTTGCACATGGGGTCATAAATAGTCTCACCAATTTGGAGTCTTGCTAGTTGCATAAAAGCTTCCAAATGGGGCTATTTTATAGGTTGTCTTTTAACTGTTATCCTCATATTGTAGAAGGGAACTGTTTGGGCTACAGTGTTTTCTAACTGCTTCATTTGTAATTTGGGCATCTTATGGTCCATAGTATCTCATTATTCAACTGAATTCATTATACACTATTAACTTATCTGACCTTTGTTATATAATAAAAGTAGATATTGTCTATGCGTAACTCAGGATGCATGATTCATCTACACCCTCTCAGCTCACTTATGACATTGCATCAAGTCTGAGGTTAGTGATACCGCCCCACACTGAAGTATGGATTATGGAAGCATTCCAAAGAAGTTTCAAAAAGACAAGAAGCAACTTTATTGAACTAATACTTCAATTAAAAAAAAATGAGACAACTGAAGATTTGACCTCCCTCTTCAACAAGACGCCATTTGGAGGGGGAATTAGATATGAACCCTCAAAACAAGAACTTATCTATTAGAATGTTCCACTTTCTGGAGAGTTCCTCCTGGAAGATTCTACTTAAATCATTCTGGAATTCCACTTAAAATCGTAGAGTTCTTTAGTATGTTTTAGGATGGCCGAATATTTCTTAGTGTGTCCTTAAATGTTATACACCATTCTAGAATATTCTACTATTTTCTAGAAGACTTCATTTTATTCGAGATTCTATCATATTCCAAAAGACTCAAATATGTTCTTAGAATGCTCTAGAAAATATTAGAAGGTTCTAGAAGATGTTGAAATGATCTAGAAGGTTCATTGCATCGGTTAACCATTGGAAGCTGGCAGCCATCCCATCCTTGACTGAAATACAATAATGTTATTATATATAACCAAGTCCTACAAAATCCCATTAACATTTTCTTATTGGAGAAATTTAATGCTGAATAGAAACTTTACTGATCACCTTATTAGGCTTGTTCTTTTGATTAAACATGAGTCAATTTTGTGCATCAGACAATAGGCAGATGCACTTGCTGGCCACCAAGTCTTGCAAAAGCCCATTAATATTTTCTTATGGGAGAAATTTAATGCTGAATAGAAACTTTACTGATCACCTTATTAGGCTTCTTCTTGTGATTAAACATGAGCCAATTTTTTGCATCCGACAATACCTCTACCATGTAAATTTCTACCAATATGAACTTCAGTTTTGTGATGCTGTAGTGCAGATGTATTGGCCTTGAGTATTTTTTTTCTTTGTGCATTTTCTTGTTCATGAAATTTTTCTTAATGAATATATCTTCACAACATTGGAAGTGATTATTTTGCATATGCCATTGGTCATCAAATTTTGTTTTTTTGTTTTTACATTGATTCATCTTTGTAAAAATCTTGTCGTATCCTATGTTATTTTGCTTGCCATTCTGTGTTTCAATTTGATAGCAGATACATACTGAGTTGTTTGTCTTTTACTTCATGTAATTTTGATTAGTTTATTTGTAATCTTACAGCAACGTTAGATATCATTCTCAGTTGGAACTAAGTTGTTTGTTTATTTGTAATCTTATAGCAGATACATACTGAGTTGTTTGACTTTTACTTCATGTAAATTTGATTAGTTTATTTGTAATCTTACAGCAACGTTAGATATCATTCTCAGTTGGAAAGCTTGGGGAAGCATGGCATATTCCCAAATACTTAGATATATTCTGAAGCTTGTTGTGGCAGCTGCATGGGTTATTATTCTTCCAATTGGGTATGCGAGTTCTTGGAAATACCCGACAGGGCTGGTTAAATTCTTTAGCAATTTGTCTGGAAATTGGCGGAGCCCTTCTTTTTACGTTGTAGCAGTTGTTCTATATATGATACCGAATATATTGGCTGTCATATTGTTTATGTTTCCACCTATAAGGAGGGCCATGGAACATTCCAATTGGCGCATTATCATTTTCTTGATGTGGTGGGCACAGGTTTGTTTTTGGATTCCTTTTTTATTTTTTAATCTCTCTGTATATGTCTTTCTTGAGTATTGGTTATGTCATTAATCCCTCAATTTGTTTTCCAGCCAAAGCTTTATGTGGGAAGAGGCATGCATGAAGGCATATTTACCCTTCTTAAGTAAGTACACTGTTGTGACTCTTGTGAGACATGTCTTTCTTGAATCATATTATGTATTGTTGATCCTTTTTTTTTTTCCTCTCTTACTTAGATATACTTTGTTCCTTTTCTTTTGTTGTTTCTCTTACACAGATATACTTTGTTCTGGATACTCCTCCTTATCAGCAAGCTTGCTTTCAGTTATTATGTTGAGGTGATTTTTATTTACTTATAAAAGTTGTGATGGGATAATAAGGCATGGTGTGGAGCTGGGGCTGACTATTACATTTCTGTAGTCAGCTTGTTGAAGCTGTTAAAGCTTTTAGTTTAAAATTCGACGGCATTCGTGTTCTTTTCTTGTAATATAATAAAAATGCTTATGTAGTTGAAAGTAGATGATCATTATAATTGAGCAGCTTTTATCATTAAGAGCCTTGCACTGTGGTGGTGATCTTGCTCATGGAAATTGGATATGAAAACATGTAGGAATTTTGCATGCTAGCTTTGGTCAAGGATATCGACAGTCTTCTAAAATGGTAGTGTTAGACACCGAAACATTCATACATTATGGATTTGTCTCGTTTCTAGATGCTTCTGTCCATAGAAGTCTGATAGATATTGTCAAAATGATGTGATTTTGCATATGTTTGTATTGTATTCACGTCTTCTTATTCTACTGTAACATTGTGTATCTTTCTTCATGCTCGCATATTTTTTCGTTCTCTTATATTATGTTATAGGACGAGAAATTCTGTAGCAAAGCAACTGCAAGATAGACGCTCATTAACTGATGGATTAAGAAAAAGGCAATCAAGCGATATACCTTTACATGCAGAGCCCATGCATCCTTCTTAAGTTCTACTGCTTCCTCGGTGGCACTCACTGCCTTTTTTAAAAAAGGCTTTGCTCATATGGGGTTGGAGGTTTCATCCCAGGGCCAAATTGGCCAACTGCCTCTATCGCAGCATAGAAGCTGCTTAAGCTAGCGATATTGAAAGGAATGCCCGCCTCATAAAACCATGTAGCAAGATAATATACAGCTCTATCTCTCTCTTTCTTCTTGATTCTATTTTCAATGGTGGTTTGCTCTTTTGTTCTCTCCTGCAACTTCAGGGTCAGGCCGAGGTAAAAAACATCGGACCTAATAGCTGCTATAGCGGCAATTCTCTCATCTTTTTTCATTTTCATCATGTTCAAAAAATTATTTATTTCCCCTTTAACAGCACCAGGAGTCTTTTTACATGGGGCAACATCCCCCTGATACCGGCAATATGTTTCTTGAACCGGTTTATGCCCCCTTTTATGTCTTTTCACAAAACTTGCATCTTATGCAATTTTTATCATTAAGATTTGGGTTATAGCCATATTTCCAACCAGGATCACCACTCATATTAGATCCTGAAGAAGACATCTAAAAAATAATGTAAATTACTAAAGCAATAAAAAAAATCACTTACTTTGAGTTTGATTGCTCAATCTTCAAACTTCCACCTCAAAGATGCTTTTAAATACTTAAAATCTTCTAAAACACCCCCTAATAACTTTGCAAAACATCAAAAAGTAAATATAATACCAATGGGTGATGTTTTGATCAATTTTGGCTAACTTTGAGTAACCCTTCGATCCTAAAAAATTCAGCACAATCTAGTTTTTTGGGGGCTTTCTCTCTCCAAATTTGGCTCCAACAAGGTTTAGGTTTCAAATGAACCTAAAACCCTAATTTTTGGCCCTTAAAAACAAAAAAACAAAAGACAAAAAATGCCCTCACCAAATAGTTCTTTCGCCCTTGGGCGGTTGCCCAGGGCTGGTCGGTCTCCCAGGGCTGGGCGCCCGCATAGGCGGTCGCCCAAGGATCGACCGCCTAGATTGGTTGCTTAGGCCCGGGTGATGTGCTCAGGCCTTCTGGATCGCCTAGGCGTTGGGCGGTCCGCTTTTTGAATCTATGCCTTCACTTCAATTTAATTTTGAAGGATTTAGCTAGAATAATTGCCATTCAAATTTTAGATTGATATATGATTCAAGAAAAATGAAGGTATGTTGTTTTAAGCATTTGATGTACAGAGTCTTGAAAACTCTGAAACCATGCTCAAGGAGTTTATTTAAGACTGTGATGAGCTTTTTCCAGATGTTAGGCTTGATAGAGATCAAAAGAGCCATTAGGTGGAGAGCTCATACCAATATCCTCTTGTAGAAGACCATTAAGAAATGCCTTAATATCCATCTGAATTATCCAATGACGCTCTACAGGAACAGATAAGAGTCCACAAACTGTTTTGAACTGGGCAATAGGGGCAAATGTTTCATAATTGACACTATAGTGTCTGTTCATACCTCATACCCATATTTATGGCCTTATAACTACTAATAGTATTATCACACATGGTGTTCACCTTGTAGATCCATTTGCACCCAATGAGAACATCTCTAGCATGGAGTGGAACTAGATCCGCAGTGCCATTTTGTTCAAGAGCTTCTATTTCTTTATGGATTGTAGATTTTTGATAAGCGTGTTTCATCACTTAACTATATGTGGGTGGATCATAAACGCATAAGAGTTCTCAACATAGTCAAATAATTGGAAAATAGAGTTCCAAAACTATGTTGAAGAGATGGTACACAAATTCCACCAAAATGAGATGAAAGGAGTACAAATAGATGCCTAATGTTACTATTCAGTAGTTTGGTCGTTATCAACTACTGAGACTCACTGGAGCTTGCATGACTTGTAGCTCTTTGGCTGATTGGTGGAGCTTTCTTGCTAAAAGTAGTTCCCATTGTTCAAAAACACGGACTGCCCAGCGCCCAGGTAGTCCAGAAGGTCTGGGCGCATCGCCCGGGCCTAGACGGCCAAACTAGGCGGTGGTCCTTGGGCGGCCGCTTAGGAGGCCACCCAGCGCCCAGCCTTGGGCGGCCACTCAGGGCCTGCGCCCCGTCCAGAGGTTGAAAAGTAAATTTTTTATTTTGTTTTCTGTTTTTTTCAAGATATAAAAGTTTAGAATGATGGGTTTTACGTTCATTTGAAACCTAAACTCACAATAACCCCTTTTAGAGAGAAAAAAACCTCCAAAAAACTACATTTCATTGGATTGAAGTGTTTCTCAAAGTTTGGAGTGTCAGTAACCAAAGTAAGTGCAAAGCTTTATTTTTTAGATTGCTTTTTTATTTTGAGATGTCTTCATCAGGAGATAGTCAGAGTGGAGATCCGGGTTGAAAATATGGATACAACCCGAATCCAAATAACAAAAATTGCGTTAGATGCAATTTTTGTGAAAAATATACAAAAGGAGGCATAGATCTGTTTAAGAAACATCTTACCGGTAATATGGGGGATGTTGCCCCTTGTAAAACTGTTCCTGAATCTATCAAAGAGGAGATTAAGCAATATATAAGTTCTGTAAAACAAAACCAAAAACAAAATCCTTATCATAGATCTATTTTTACTACTTTTAGAAGAAGTGATCCGGGTTGGAAGTATGGGTACAACCCAAAACCAAATGTTAAAAATTGTATAAAGTGTAATTTTTGTGAAAAAGATACCAATGGGGGTATTAGCTGATTAAAAAACACCTTGCTGGTGTTGGAGGTAATGTTGCTTCTTGTACAAAGGTTCCTGATGTAGTTCGGGATGAGATTAGACATCTTTTGAATTTAGAAGAATCAGGAAAGGATGAAAATAAGCATTGTTCTACTGAAGTATCTTCTCCAGGTTATAGTCGGAGTGGTGATCCTGGTTGGAAGTATGGTTATAACCCGAATCCAAGTGATAAAAATCGTATTAAATGTAATTATTGTGGAAATGATACTAATGGGGGCATTTGCCGGTTTAAAAAATACCTTACCGGTATTAAGTGGGATGTTGCCTCGTGTAAAAATGTTCTTGAGGCTACCAAGGAGGAAATTATACAATATTTGAGTTTAGAGAAGCAGAAAGAATAGGGTAGAGCGGCCAAGACTCCTAGGGCCTCATCTGCATAGACTGCGCATACTAGTAAGAAGAAGGTAGAAGAAGAGGAGGAAGAGGTAGATTCAGAAGAAATAAAGGAGGACAAGCGTTATATTGAAGAGGGAGATGACTCTGATGATGATGGCCTCGACTCTGATGCATATGACGAGGCTTGCCCTATTGATATCTCTTGTGATGATGATGATGAATGCTGATGACGACTGAAGACTCTTGCATCTTGGTGCTGAGCGTTGAGTGTTGACTGTTGTGTTGAGTCATGAGTGTTGACTTTTGTTCGACTGTATATTTTTTAAATTTTTGTATATTTCTGTTGTTTTGAATGTTGACTTTTATATCCTATACTTGTATGGTTTTATAGTTCATTATTTTAACAATATAGATTATCAAAATTCTCTTCTCAACGTCTATCTTTCTTTTTTTTTTTTTTTTAACTTGGATTTGGAATATTTAATATTGGTAATTTCGTATAATGGTATATTTTTTTCAACTGGGCAGCCGCTCAGGTTCTTGGCGGCCGCCTAGACGCTGGGCAGCTTGGACCCCCTAGGCCGCCTAGGACCCGCTTAGCGCTTCTTGATACACTGGTAGTTCCAAAACTATGTTGTAGAGATGGTACAAAAATTCCACCAAACTGAGATGAAAGGAGAATAAAAGGATGCCTAATGTTGCTATTCTGCGGTCTGGTCGTTATCATCTACTGAGACTCACTGGAACTTGCATAACTTGTAGCATTTGGTGGAGCTTTGTTACTAAAAGTAGTGGCTATGAAGGATTCTCGGGGTGTAAATTCATATTTTTTTTCTCTTTTTTCTTTTAATGAAAACTGAGAAAATCTACTTACAATGCCAAAATTTACAGCGGAAGGAAAAAATAAAACCTAAATACAACCTATGGATCTTAACTCCTTCTACTTTAAAGAAAAAACTTCATTCGTATATTGAATTCAAGTACAAGTAGAATTCAAATAGGAATGCTAATCAAGAACAATAAATTGAGAATTAAAGCAGAAAATAAATAAGAAATAAAGTTGAGAAGGCTTATATAGAGTTTGCCCAGGTCACCCAATAGGACTCAATGTTCAAAAATGTGGATTCGGTGCTTTAGGCGTTTTGGGTGCTTGGAAGCTTAGGTGTTCGCCCAGAGATAGGGTGCCCTCACCAAATTTGAAACACCCCTCCCCCCCCCCCATCAAGAAAAAAAAGGGAATTCTTAGGGCATGGTTTTAAGCCTGAGGGAGTTTTTAGGGAAAT